TAAATATTAATGTGTCAAAATCAAAAATTATCATTTGTAACAAGCAAGGTAAAATACAGTTCAGATTTCAAATTAATAGCCAAAAATTGGAAAACGTCTCATCATAAACCTACCTTGGTGTTAAAATCAATGCTACTGGTAAACTGAACAGAGCTCAAGAAGACCTTAGTCACAGAGCAATGAAAGCACTTTTTAAACTAAAACAATTACTCTATGCAGACCCAAATATCCCAATCAAAACACATCTGAAATTGTTTGATGCTATGGTTAAACCAATTTTACTCTACTATAGTGAAATCTGGGCAAGCGATATTATTAATATGCACTCAACAGACTTGTTTAAACAATCCTTGCCTATGGAAAAATTACATCACAAAATGTGTAAGTACCTACTACAAGTAAACTGTAAAGCTACAAACTTGGCATGTTTATTTGAACTGGGAAGATATCCACTTATCATCTCAAGCATCAAACGTATGATTAACTACTGACTGAAAATAAAAAAAATCACAGAAGAAATCATACGTGAAAACACTGGAAATGTACACACTGGTTGGCGATCCGCTCCGCTCAAAAACAAGCAACATGTTTTTGGCTGTTTCCATGGTGTGACATAAACGTGAAGCTAACGTCGGTTTATAACTAATACGAAGTTCGCAAACACCATTCAGTCTTTAGAAGTCACTTAGTTTATTACTGAGACCACAGTCACTTCTGCTGTTACATTTTTTATTTCCAACCGTTTTGCGATAGCATTTTCTAAAATGAAGCGTTTCCTGTAAATGCTGGAAAGCGAAATAATGAAATAACGAAACGATAAATATTCACCTAAAGTACAGTGTGTTGACCTTTATAATAATATACTTCATAATGCAAAACACTAGTCACGGTGAGATATTTAAATATACGACTCCTAATCGAAAAATATGACCACAGTCCAGAATTTCAGACGGATATTAAGCAATGTAAGAGCATATCAGAAGCATTTACTCTAAAATATAAAAAAGAACTGCAGTCAAAAGTCAAGAATGCCAGCAAATAAAGAACTCGGTTCCACAATCCTTTGTGCGCGTTATTACGGACACGCGCAAAAAACTGTACCACGCTTGTCAAATCTGGGTCAAATATACAGTACGCTACTATCTTGCCACAGATTGTTTAGTAGTGGAGTGTTCGGTGAC